TTTCACTCGTGTCAGCTTGCCACGCCGAGTTGGGGGCCTGGCATATTCAGCTCGAGTTCCGGTACGGTTATTTTGCTTGACATTATCTCATCTGCTCTTTGGTGGATCTGGCTGCGCCAGGCGATCTGGAGGATCTTTGGTCGGCAGGCGGGGGGGGGGGGGGGGTTTACCAGTAAGCCATATCTTCCGGTCTCCGCGTAAGTTCAGGCTACGCGTGCGGAAGAGCTACAATGGGCCCTGACCTTATTGGACGAACTCGGATACCGTCTAGCATGGGCCAAGCTGCAGACTTAATAATATGGAAGGACAGGTCTGTGAATCAGAGTATCTGACGTCACTCCAATGTCATGTTGTTGTAAATAGTTTTCTAAGTCAATCCTTTTTATTTTAAAATGGGTTCCTAAGCCCCCAGATCCCGCATTTTGGTTGGGGCATGGCGAGGCCAACAAATGGGCAGCACAAAGAGTCGCGCACGCAGTCTTCCTTGCCAATGCACCGTTCATGTGCGTTGCGACGTGCAGGGCAGTTTCACTCGTGTCAGCTGGCCAAGCCGAGCTGGGGGCCTGGCATATTCCGCTCGGGTTCCGCTACGGTTATTTGCTCGACATTATCTCATCTGCTCTTTGGTGGATCTGGCTGCACCAGGCGATCTGGAGGGTTTCTGGTGGGCAGGCGGGGGGGGGGGGGTACCAGTAAGCCATATCTTCCGGTCTCCGCGTACTGTAAGTTCAGGCTACGCGTGCGGAAGAGCTACAATGGGCCCTGACCTTATGGGATGAACTCGGATACCGTCTAGCATGGGCCAAGCTGCAGACTTAATAATATGGAAGGACGGGTCTGTGAATCAGAGTATCTGACGTCACTCCAATGTCATGTTGTTGTAAATAGTTTTCTAAGTCGATCCTTTTTATTTTAAAATGGGTTCCTAAGCCCCCGGATTCCGCATTCTGGTTGGGGCATTCATGTCTGCATGAGCTTCGGAGCAGTCTTCACGTAAGCTCAGACTACGCATGTGGAGAGCAGCACTGGGCTCTGGCCTTATCGGATAAATTCGGACCCCGGCTGTCGCGGGCCAGGCTCTACACTGAACGATGTGAGAGGATGGGCCCGTGAACCAGCGTAACTGAAGTTACCCTAGCGCCCGGTTCTTGAAAGTAGTGTCATAAGGTCATCCGTCCTACCTTACACGGGTTTGGTGGCCCTTGGATTCTGCATTCTGGTTGGGGTAGTCGTGTCCGCCAACTCTTCGGGCATGAGCTTCGCCAGAAGGCCTACGGTTTGGATATTCTTTCTAGGAAAATACCAGTTTCCAATTCCCCAACCCGGAATTCATGTCCTTCCCCGGTACAACGAACTATTGTCGCAGGAGATGGTTGGGTCAACTCTTCCGGGCGACCCTGTGAAGGCCATTATGCGGTACTAGCGTCTATGCAAGACAATACTGGAATCATGTAAAAACCGTGCGTGATCTAATACTTAAACACGTTGAGACCGTATTCAAACAAGACTGAGATGCTAAACATAGTTCTTTCGGAAATCCTCACCGTAGCGAAGCACTGGAAGTCTCAAGTGTAATGTGTTGGTGCGACTCACAGCCGAGCAGGTGACACCGGACGAACAGGCGTGCGTTTTTGCATTGGAAGGGTCCAGCATGCTAGCTTGACACCTTGATGGTGAGTGCTGGTCGCAATGAAGGATCCCCAGCCGAACTGCGTCTGGGCACTCGACTTTCTTGCCCAGATTAGCTTCGCTGGACCGAACTTGATGTTGGACGAACCTGTAAGCCCGAGGCGCACCCGATCGATCCGGCGAAGGCCGTTATGCGGTATTGATTCTCCGTGCAGGTGACTGCTAGTGTTGATGGTGTAGAGAGTCATAATGCTTCATACTCACTTGCACACAGTTTTGTCTCGGGAATTGGCGATGTTTCTGCACGGGCAGAAAGGATCTATAGTCTACGCATGCATCGGTGTCCTGCAATATACTTGTCTGGAGCTCTTTGTTCCACCCACCACATCATCGTCACAGATGTGAGCTGGTGACGCGGAACCTTGACCCTCCTCATGCAGCATCGCTTCCCCGTCTTAATGTTGCACGACGCCGGCAACACCACAGGGCACTAACGCGCAAACAGAAGTTTCTCTCCGACCCTGGCTGGGCAGTTTGATGCAGGCACCGCCAAAGCGGCCTCGGCGGAAGGCGATCCGGGTCTATTTGATTGTGTATGTAATCGGGAATTCTGAGTACAATCAGCCCTGCATGCCATGAGTATAGCAAGAGAGGAAGAGAGTATAGAATCAGGCGCCGCCAAAGCGAGCTTGGTGGAAGGCAATCCGCGCTGGTTTGGGCGTGTGGTGGAGAGTCCTAACTACAATTAGTCCTGCCAGCCAGAAGTTAAGACAGCGGAGGAATAGTGCATAGTGTTGTGGCTTCCTGGTATATCTGTACCCGAGTGCGCAAAACGCATGTGCAGGCGCAACGTTGCGTTCCGACCATGAAGGCGAGCATCTGTTCGTTTTAAAAGACCAGAAGCAGTTGCCAAGCATTGTGGGTGGCAATGTCACAACCCACATACCCCGGCAAGTCAGGATGGCAAGTTGCTGGCGCGCAAGCGGCAAGGCCGCGCTTCTTGTAACATATATATTTGTGTTCTGCTCGGATGCGAGGCGGCAGTGCTTCCGCTGTACGGCGTAAGAATGTCTCCTCTTGCAGGAGCTGGCCGGCCAGAAGGGAGCGTGGGAAGGCTGCTCTGCATTGTGGTACGAAGTCAATGTTGAGTGTCTCGTACCCCATGTGTCCGAGTGTGTCGCCCTGTTGGCTGGTGATCGTGCTTGGTTATCCAAGAATGAGCCCTGTTCCCTCCATACTGGAAACTAAGCGACACCTCCGCCGCAGTTGCCACATCCCCTGCGGTTCGATTGATGACGTTTCTACTTCATTGTTGCACTAATGCGCTGGGTACTTCTCCAATCTCGAAGTCGCCGCAGTAGTGGAACACATGTGACTGGACATAGAACGAATGTAATCTCGGTCAGTGCGCTGACTAGCTAAAGACATAGAAGTTGTACGCCCTAGTAGGTGAGCAACCATGCTTGCAAGAAGATGAAGGCGTTTTAAGGCGACACAAAGCTATGATTGCTCCGGTCAGACTTTCGTTGGATAGCGATCTGCCGAGCCACCAGCAGTCCAACGTAAGCGCATCAGAGATCAGTGAAGGGGCAGAGGACAAATGCCCAGGGTACGGGTGGTGGCAACCAACAGAACTATTTTGCAGATAACGAGGTACCACGAAACACAGCATTGGATTCTTTCGCGTGAACATGTCATAGAGGCATTGGGGGTGAGCAGGGGGGGGGGGCGGTGTATGAGATCCTTGTGTGCAGCATGGTAGTGGAAAAGCCGTTTCCAGACGCCTAATTCAATCTTTTGCTCGCCAAGGAAAGCTGCGCGAGGTCTCCTGCGAAAGCCTGCTGGAAGGCTCGCCATTCCCTAGTACATGACAGGCTGTATCGGGATGAGAAGCGCGGAGGGGGGGGGGGGGGCGGGGGGGGGGGGGAGGGGGATTGGTTGACGCAGTGCCGTCAGTGGCACGGAGTGCAGCTTGCACAACAGGAAGAGCAACTCGTGGTGCGGAGATCTCCCTGTCCCGTTCTCGGACGAGTGTAGGAACGGGGCACTTCGCGTTGACTTCATGCCGTGTCGATGTCGTGCGCAACTGGATGCTGCAGGAATGGTTTGGGAAGACCGGCCCGCCGGAGGTGCGAGGTGTACCGGGTGCTCCTCCCGAGCTCGCACGTGCAGCAGGTCGTTGCATGTGTCCTAAAGGTTCCGCGTAAGGACCGGCGATCCCCCGACGCCGGGGAGCCAGCCGAATGTATCCGATGCCTGCAATCTGTTTGAAGCATTTAGATATGACGAGGCCAAGTTCATGCTGCGCAACGGGCGGCAAGGCATGCCCATTTGGCAGCAGGCGTCCATACGTAACCCAGTGTACTGATGAGTGCGTAGGCCTCGCAAAAAGGGCGGAGGACCGCGCCGCATCTGCTCCCGTCTTCGGTTGCAGGGCATGTGACACATGTATATGTATCGTCCGCTGCACCTGTAGATGTGAGCTATCGGCGTGATTCTTCGCGACCTGAGACGGGAATCCACAGGACTCGCCCCCTGGCTTTGGCGTCCGCCCGGCGGCGCAGAACTCGGTCTCCCATGCAGTGTGCACCATACGCTGGCTTGCAACACTAGCACCGCACGAGGTCGGAGGAGAGCAGGCCCGTTGCGTGAGAGACGTGTGGTCGAGTATCTCGGGATTCAGGGGTGCTGCAGTTTCAGCTTCTCGACGTCCGGGTTTCTCGGTTGTGTCGTAGGCGTCTCGCGAGAGTCATGGCGAACAGAGTGCGAACTCCTCGCGGCGGCTCTAGCCCCCGATGCGACTTTACCATGGATCTTTGCGTGTGCGTGCGTTTGAGCATCGGTACGGGCACAGACTCAGCATGCGATGCGATTTGGCCGGCAGGCCGGCAGCTGCTTTTTCCTGTCCAGACGAGCCGGGCCCCCGGCAGAACTCGACTGCTGTGAGTCCCGCAGGTAACATGGTCTGGCTGTGTCACGCATTGCTTACGATCTATTCCGGGCGGGATTAGCTGGGCCTCTGTATAGGGATAGTGACGTCGGGGTGCCATCATGTTGAAGTTCGGTCTTCCGCGAGCTGGATGGGCTGTAGCACAGGCATTCTGGGTGTTCACAGTCTGGAGCGGTTACACTCCCGTGTCCTGGGCTTTTGCCTGTCTGGACAGAAGACCCATCGCGGATGTGAAGGACCGCAACCGGCGGCAACACGCTGCCAACGGGAATATCCCGGCGAATCGCCGTGAACCTCGTTCGGCGGCGGCGGTGAATCCGTTGCAACTTGGCTGTAGTTCTTGTTGCGGACTCTTGCAGCTGGTTGCAAGCGGATATGGAAGTCATGATGCTGATTGCTTCGACTTGGGACGTGTGCAATTATGACGTCTGACATCAGGTGGTCATTGCATCTCCTCCCTTCTTGCGTGGATGAGCTGTTGCAACGCGTTGATCGGGCCCCAGTGCCGGACGACAGCGACATCCTCCTAGCAAGGCGGGTGCATACCTCCTACCGCATCCGCCGGTGCGCCTTCAGTGCGCAAGTGGTTGCTGCGAGATCTCTGCACGCGCTGTACTGTGTTGAGCGGGCACATGCACGGAAGGAGATTGGAAGCTCTCAGACCGCACAAGCTGAACCAGCTGCTGCACGGATGGCAACCAGAACTCTACCCCGGAGTTCGGACCTTGGGACAAAGGAACTGTCGCAAGCTAATTCAGTTTCGATGCTTGTCGACAGGCTCTCAAAAATGCCGTGGTTCGTTTCCTGGGTATGGATCGAGATGCGCAGATGCGCGTGCTCGACAAATTCCAACATCCTGTGTACAAGTTCACGCCTCCACCCAAGGCAAGCAAATTCTGCGCAAGACTGTCCTTACGACGTTGTGTTTGTTGTTTTCTGCTGTCACGTCTCGCAGGTGCGCGGTGGACTGCAGCAGCTGGACCAGCAATGGCCAGCTGATGCGGCATTTGAAGCGGGTTCCAGCACAGAGGCGAGTGACTGGGCGGGATCCTCAGAAAATGAGCTCGTCTTGTGGGCTCAGATCACATTCTCTGAGCTAACATCGGCTCTGCATGCGCCCAATGGGGAGGGTGGAGGGTTTGCATGGAAACTGTTACCCACTCTCCCAGAACGTCCTGGGCCGCAAGGCCATCTTCAGTTTCCATACGAAGAACCGCTAACATGGAATGGAACCTCTTGCATCCTCCCCGCGAGTCTTGAAGATTGCTCGAGCTGTTGTCATCCCACCTGTAGCACAACAACTCAACCCTTACTGACGGCCACTCCTGTTTCACTCTCACCCAGGACAACAACGCTTTGATCGTTTTGCGTACCCACACGCACACACCTCACAGCATTCATCATGAAGATTTTTCGGACATGTGGCGAACTTCGGTGGGCTGCGGCACAAAGGGCGTATCCCAAAACCTTCGGACACGAGGTGCGACCCACTAACGTCGAATCTTGGGATTTCAGAGCTCTTCGCACAATCTGGCAATGGACACTTATATACGTAGGAACTCCTCGGTGGGCGTCAAACTCCAGCTTCCAGACTGGCTCCTTGGCTCTTTCCCGGTGGCCGTTCGAATCCTGAACTTTCACGGTTACAACAAAGCATGGAAGATATCGGCCAAAAAGCTCACTGTCGTGCAATTACCATGCTGTTGGTTGTCCCTTGCGCGGGGTTTCTGGAAGTTTGAAGGAGGGTACATGTTCCGCCACCTGTTTCCTGCAAGGAGGGCTCGACCACGGAGGCATCCGATGGTGACGAGACGGAGCTTGCAGCACGTGCTTCATTGTGATGAATGAGAATTATTGTTGCGTGTTGGGCTTGGGGACTGGAGGACCCGCCGCAAGCACCGCCATACGACACCGATTCTGCTTCGGAGGCTAGTTTTGCTGCCGGCAGCTCCGTGATGACACGTGCGCTGCTGCAGGTGGAGATTTTGGGTCCTGAGCTGCTGCACATGCAGGCCTCGGACCCTGTGCAAGGCTGGTTGCCAATTTGATGTTGCGAGGCTATCCGGCCTCGAGGTCGTCGGTCGGCTGGGATTGCCGCAGGCAGCACACGTGCAGCTGGGCTGCTACGTGACACAGAGGCATAGCCTGTGGTCTACCTCCATTCTTACCTGTCTTGCATTTGTCGAGCAGACGGCACAGGTTGCGGTATCCCTTCACGAGCTCAAACGCGACAGCTTCCGGTTGTCGCGCGAGATGCTTGATGCCATCTTCTCTGGCGAGTTCGGCCAGCGACGTCTCAAGCCACGGTTTCTGGAGGCGATCAGTTCGGACCGAACCTTTGCAGATCCAGCCTTATGGTTATCCAGAATTGTACCAAGTTCTCGTATGCCTATTGCCGTGCGTGCGTTCGGATATCTGAACTATGTACCATGTTTGATGTTGCACGATTGCTGGAAGCCGTACCTATGTTGAAAAGTGTAATTCATTTTTGTGACCGATAGAGTGCGCAACTGAAGAATGCAGTCGCGGCGTCGTCTCGCATTGTGCTTGTTGTCACGGTTGCATAATCGCCATGCTGTGCACATACCGCTATTGTCTCTAAGATTGACGAAAGTGTGCACACCATTGTGCCTTTGTGGCTTTTGAAAAGCGAATCCGCCAAGCTTTTTGCTCTGTTCTGATGGGAAGCTACGAATGCAAACCTACACTGAGTGCTCGTTGGACTTTGTCCGTCCCGTCATGGTCTGTCTTTGTGTAACGGTGCTGGAAACTGCACACTGTACCTCATGCCGTGGATGTTTGTTTGTTAAGGGTGTACCGCTGCAATAGTTCGCGGGCTGCGATGCGGCGCATTCGCCGTTCTGGTTGCGTGCTTGTGGGGAGGAGCATACGTATGAGTGAGGCCAGGCTTTATGTGTCACTTCTTTGGCTTTCATGCCACGTGTTGCGCGAGCACTGTTTCTACTTTGCTTCGGACTCAGGTCAGCCGCAGCGTCTGGATGCAATTGCCGGACGCGAAGACGGCCGTCTGTACTTCTCGACGGTTGGCATTGTTCGATCACCTACGGCAAACTGGATTTTGCGCTCAGTGTCAAGCCTAGAAGATGCGTACTGCCGACTCCACATGCTCTTCGCGCCTTCCAAATTTCAGGCAACCTGCTGCTTCTGATTTGGATGTGTACCAAAAGCACATATATTTCTTTAGTCTTGACGGAGCCAAAGGTGGGGTACAATGTGAGGTTTCCGAACAGATGTGTTTGTGCGTGTTCGCACCGTTTGAGGCCCTGTGGGTGGCCCTCGGGGTGAGTTCAGACAGTTTTGCTTGCCGCATCTGCAGGCTTGGGACGACAAGTTCAAAATCCACTATCTTCCTGCGGCCCAGACCACGAATCAGGACGACAGTGCTTCTTCCATCGCATGCTGTTTTGTTATGGTGTCGTGCAGGATGGGGTCGACGTCAAGGACGGCCAGTCCGAAATTGGACCCCTCGCCGCCTTGCATTACGGGATGATCAAGCACGGCAGGCGCGCAAAACAACTTCAACTCGCTTGATGCTTGGGACTTCCGACTGGCAGGCCGGGGGAACGTTATCAGCTGGCGGAGGCGATCCAGTGCCGCGGATTCCTTTACTGCCACGAAACCGGTGAGTCGATGCTGGCATCGGCCCCACCCAGTTGCGCGCAAGGCATTCCGGCAACGTTTCGAAACTAATTCGCCTGTGAGGTCAAAGGAATGATCGTGGTGAACGATACCCTCGGCGACAAGCTCGTCCTTTCTGAGTCGTGCGTCAAAGTTCGAGCTCCAGGCTTGCGTTAGTCTTGCAGACATGTTATGCTTGCGACCAGTTGCGTTTTCCAGGACGCTTCTACGTCGACTATGGCTTGGATGTCGTGTACAGGACGTCGAAAAGGAGGAAACCAGCAGGCGTGCCGTTTAACTGATCCGGCATCGAGTTGTGAGTCTGTGCCGAGTCTATTTATCTGTGGTCGCCAGAACTAACACCGACCTTGGTCGCGGTGTTGCGGCTGCGCATCAGCAGCCTGGACGACGAGGACGTCCGCTGGGCCTGCGAGCGCAAACTTGGCACTGCAATCCAAGCTGCGCCGCTTGTCTGCTCGGACGTCTTCTTACCGGGCCACTGTGCCCATCCGATGCACACGCATCTTAGGCAGGAGCATACTTTGCGGATGCTGCCTCGAAATGCGTGGAAGCTTCCAGCTAGGCAGGAAATACTTAGTGTCAAGCCTGCTGCGCCGATGTCTTCAGAAAGCTCAATGTCGGAATCTCCATGCGATGGTGCACATTTTTGCAGGAGCATCGAGCCGGATCCTCATGTTGGGTACACCTTCGTGCAGCCTGCAGAAGAAGACGACTTTTGGACCACTGCCCGAACGCCGATCAAATCCATCTCCATGACGGCGGGAGACCAAGATGCAACTAGGTTGCACCACATCTGCACTTGAGCAACAGTCTCGGCAGGGAGGTGCCGAGTTGGAAAAATCCATGCCCTTAATGAGTTATGCCGCAAGTGGCACTGCCAGGACGAAGAGCCCACCGAGCTCGCAGTATTGCAGCAAGAGCGCACGGAGGTGACACGTTGCAGCTGCAACCGCTGCTTAGTGGGCTTTTGTTGCGTCGCTGTAACCAGGAGAATCCAGAGTGCGCTTTGCATGGCACCAAATGCGCCGCTGCGTTGGGGCTGACGTATGTCTGCTCCAACTACGACAAATACAGGGCAAAAGCGAAGCTGGACATGCGGCTAGCTGGAATTGTCTTGACTCACGTTCTGCTGCACAGTGGTTTGTATATGACACTTCTTCACACTCCCATGTGCACATCTTCCGGAGAGCGAACGCAGGCCCGCAAGTGCTGGTGGCATAAAGGCCATCAGCGATCCATACTTTACGGATCCCAGCCGACGTCTTCCACGTGACCATTGCTACATCGTCTACAACGGAAAGATCCTTGTGGGCGAAGTGGCGGCGCCTTGTATACCTAGTCTGCGATGCTTCTGTAAGGATGGTTTGCTAGATGCGCGCCAAACTAGGAAGGAACAATGCGCCAGACGGCACCCGAAACACAGACCTATTCACAAGGCTCCGCCGTCGTGAAGTACTCCGGACGTGAAGTGGAGTTTGCCGTACACACCCTTCTTTCTAGTCCCCGACTTAGGACCCAGTTGGGGTCCTGTGAACTCGGAACACTGCTCCTAGTGGTGGCACGCTCAAACGTCGTGGTTGTACGCAGTAGGGGTGCCGACATACCGTGTTCAACAAAGCTAGCATGCCGTTTCTGGTGGCAAACGCAGCAAGATTGCTGAAGAGACCCCGTCCAATAATGTTGGAGGGTGGTCTCCACGACAAACTACATCAATATCGCGGCAAGGTCTGCAGCGGAGCTAGCCCAGTAACTTCTGGGAAGAAATTGGAATTGCTTAGATCTGCTTGCCCGGGTCTGCAGGGTTGAGATAATGAAGAAAGTCCTTGTGCTCCGTGCACTTGGTTGCCTTGAGAGGAGCTGCTAGCCCCTGAAAGAAGTTGCCAGCATCTACCCTCCGGAAGAAACGGCTAGCATGCCATCAGCTTTACCATCGCAATGCTTCAGCGTTCTCAGACCTTCCCTCAGCCCAAGTACACATCGTCTGTGCACTCTCCTGCATACCCTTCTTCTGTGGAACGAGGGAAAGGGAAGGACGATTTCCTTCGATTGAAACTGGTTGCTCATGCGCGTGCTGGACGGGGGCAGCTGTTCAGCTAACTTCGAAAGCATGCGCATGTGTTGGCGTAGACACGAAGCCGTGAATAGAAGTAAACTTCTGGTCAAGCTGGCATGGATGCGACGTCAGGTTAGCTGATGGCCCGATGGCTCGGACACATAAAGCTAACTGCAGTTATCTTGCGAATGTCGCATTCTGTCTGTCGGTTGCCGCTGGCTGTTTTTTTCAGTTTCGCTAGTCAGCACATGCTGCTCGTTGGAAGAATGCATTCAGGTTTGGCGATACCCCGCGCACACTATCACCGATGCAAAGATCCTGACTGCAGTCATGCCTCCACCGGGTGCGCTTCATGATAACTGACAGCTCGGTTTACCTGGTAACTTGCGCAAATACGAGTGAGTGGCACTCTGCAGCAAGCGGTGCAAGCAAGGTGGCACGCGTAAGGGTGCCACTACCGCCTGTTGCAGCCAGGTGTCGTTATTCAGCACGACAACTGCATGGTCCTCTCGTGCGACGGCGGTGTGAATTCGGACGCCCAGAATGAAGCGTTGTTCCACTGGAAGTTGTGTCTTGAGCATGTTGCATCTACCCATGTCTGCAATGCTAAGTGTTTGCCTCGGCTCCTGCTACTCCATACCATGTCT